GTTAAATTATGCCCACACAAATGTGAGCAGTAAACGCAGAATTAGATGAGATAGATTAGTCAGATGCAAAAAAAAGAGCGCAGAAAACATAAAAAGCCGAGCGAAGCCGGGTATGCCAGCTAGTATCTCAATAAAACTTATTCCTACAAACATCAAAGATAAATGCAAAAGATTTGTCATCTATTACCAAATGGAACCCTCTAACATACTATTCATGAATGCAAAAACGAGTTTGTAGCGAAAATTAATCTTATAATTTGAATCTTTCAGACAAGTGAAGCTGAGACATGGGATCTACACTTCTGGCTGGGTGAAAATGCAACTACCGATGAAATGGGGACAGCAGCTATAACAGCTGTAGAGATAGACGACGCCTTGGGTGGGCATCCTGTCCAGCATCGAGAAGTCCAAAAGCATGAATCCTCTCTGTTTCTTTCTTACTTCCCATATGGAATCCGGTAAAGCTCAGTTTTGATCTAAAAGCTTATTAGGCCTAATATTTAAACTCCTAGGTATCTGAATGGAGGCTATGACTCTGGATACCACCACGTTGAGGACATCTTCGACAACTTTGAGCCGCGCTTATACCATTGCAAGGGTAAAAGGAATGTTCGCTGCTCACAGGTTCAGTTCCCTGTCATCATTAACTAAATAATTCATTATAAAAACACGCTTCTTTATACGATATATTACGGATGGCGTTGCCCTCCTTGCGATGCATTCTGGAGTTTCTAATCTTCTTAACAATAGACGGAAAAACTTAGTGAATTTATAACTCCTGTTCGGAGTTTAAGTGTAGGAGCGTTCCCATTGTCAATGATGTGGTGAACCTTCTCGCCATAGCACCATTTCAATTCATCATTCTGTTGAATGTTGTTTTTTGCCTTTACAGCTGAAGATTACTAGTGGCTTGAAATTCCTTTACGAATCAACAGCGCTCTTTTTCAAAGATTCGCTCTAGTTTTCTGTCATCTAGATAAGAATTACAAAGCAAATGCCAACTTACCAGGTTATTCTTGCCCACTGCAGCTTACAGAAAAGAACCATCTTACTAAGTTTTTAATGATTGCTAACTGTTCTGTACCCGCAAATCTGATAAGATTCTGGAACAAGCTACATAGTACTTGCAGAGACAATAAACAGTAAGAAATTGTTCATAGTGGTAAGAAGAGGGAGAAAGGGATTAGGAGGAACGAAAGGAGGGTGGTCGGGAGCGAATGGGAGCAAATTCTGCGTTGT